AACTTACACAAAAAAGAAAACCCTAAACATTGGTATATTCTGCTTTTTTTCCCTCTGTCCACACGGGCGTTAGAAAGGACGGGGGGGGGGGGCCCTATGGGGGGTTACTTCCCTCTTGCCCTGCCTAACGGGAGGAAGACGGTCTGGAAATGCTGGGGGAAGCTCACGCCGGATCCGAGTGGGAAATGTGGCGAGGGAGCCCAGGTGTGCTCCTTTATCATGTGTGGGACCAGGGGGGCCTGGGCCGTGCACCTGTCCACGTGGCTCCACGAGCATTCCAGCAGCGCCGACTGCGCACCCTCCTTTGTCTGCGGGGGCAGGCGATCGACCCCAGCTTCCCGTCCGTTGTCTCGGGTGGTGGCCTCAGACATGGACACTGTTGCTTTTAAATGTGTCCATGTCTGCTCCCTGCCCATCTTCTCCAAACGCGAATGGCCACAGTGGCCACGGGTTTTCCTCTGAACAAGTTTGAGTGCCCAGCCCAAGCCTAGAACAAATGCAGCACGAGAGAGCGAGGGAGCCTGATATTCGCTAGGGTGCTGGGCTGGGCTGGGCTGGGCTGGGCTGGGCTGGGGCTGGGATAAGCCCTCGACTGCCACCTGGACCCACCGTGTTGAGCACAGATACCCACGGTAACATCACGGCATTCCCCTCCATCAGATAAAACACCGCGAGACGAAAGAAAGGCCAGGAAACACCGCTATCTGCCCAGTTATGTGTCCAGCTACTATTTATGCGTCGGCGGGCACGTGCGGGCGCTGTGGGTTTCAGTGACTCAGCTCCTCCCACTGAACGCAGGGCCTGCTGTGGCCCAGAGCCTCCCACCTGCAGGCCACCGCCCTGGCTCGGCTGCTGGTGGACTTTGGGTTGTTTCCCCTCCTGGCTCCGCGAACACCTTGCTGAGCGGGAGAGCACCAGGCACAGAAGACCACCCGTGGTCCACTTCCGGTGAAATGTCCAGAACAAATGAATCTGCGGAAACAGAAAACTGCTACATGATTGTCTAGAGATGCTGGGAACGGCCATGGGCCGCGTATGGTGTGGAGGCTTTGATTGGGGCGATGGGGACACTTTGGAACTAGTACGGATGGCGGCAGCACAAGCTGTGAAAAGACTAAATGCACTGCTTGGTTCGCCTTTTTGCCTCCTGCACGCCCCCTACTGGGGACCAAGCCCACAACCCCGGCATGTGCCCTGACCGGAACCGAACCAGCAGCCTCCTGGTACATGGGACAATGATGCCCAGGCAACTGAGCCACACCGGCCGGCTGTTTGGTTCCCTTTTATTAAAATGTTCTATTTTGTGAATTTCATCTCAACTTTTTAAAAAATGAGCCAGCTGGAGCCTCAGCTCCCCAGACGTCACAGCAGAAGGGAGGTGAGAGAGCACGGTGACTTCAGAGGTGGCTGACGGGGATGCCATAAACATGCCCTAGAGCTGAGGTGTCCAGCTGCTGGCGGGCTGGGCGGGGAGCACGGTGTGACCGGGGGCAGCGTCGGGACCGGCCTCCGTGGCTGCCGTTTGTGACTGACCAGGAGGAGGCAAGGGCCGAACTTACCCAGGCTCCCTGCGCTGTGCTTCTCTCCGGGAGGCGGGGCTGTGGGAGAGCCGGTCAGCTGTCCGCCCCCGTCTCCCTGCCCCCCAACCACGTCCCAGCAGTCCCACCGGCACAGCACTCCCACGGGCACAGCACTCCCAGGGGCGGAGCACTCCCACGGGACACAGCACTCCCAGGGGCACAGCACTCCCATGGGGGGGAGCACTCCCACAGGGCGGAGCACTCCCACGGGCGGAGCACTCCCACGGGGCACAGCACTCCCACGGGCACAGCACTCCCAGGGGCACAGCACTCCATGGGCACAGCACTCCCAGGGGCACAGCACTCCCACGAGGCGGAGCACTCCCACGGGGGGAGCACTCCCACAGGGCACAGCACTCCCAGGGGCACAGCACTCCCAGGGGCACAGCACTCCACGGGCACAGCACTCCCATGGGGCACAGCACTCCCACAGGGCGGAGCACTCCCATGGGCAGAGCACTCCCAGGGGCACAGCACTCCCACGGGGCGGAGCACTCCCATGGGCAGAGCACTCCCATGGGGGGAGCACTCCCACGGGGGGAGCACTCCCAGGGGCACAGCACTCCCAAGGGCACAGCACTTTCATGGGGGGGAGCACTCCCACGGGCACAGCACTCCCACGGGGTGGAGCACTCCCATGGGCACAGCACTCCCACGGGCACAGCACTCCCACGGGGTGGAGCACTCCCACGGGCACAGCCCTCCCACGGGGTGGAGCACTCCCACGGGCACAGCCCTCCCACGGGGTGGAGCACTCCCACGGGCACAGCCCTCCCACGGGGTGGAGCACTCCCACGGGGCAGAGCACTCCCACGGCACAGCAGCACTCCCACGGCCACAGCACTCCCACAGGGCGGAGCACTCCCACGGGCACAGCACTCCCACAGCACTCCCATGGGGGGGAGCACTCCCACGGGGCACAGCACTCCCACGGGCGGAGCACTCCCACGGGGTGGAGCACTCCCACGGGGCGGAGCACTCCCACGGGCACAGCACTCCCACGGGGGGAGCACTCCCACGGGCACAGCACTCCCATGGGCGGAGCACACCCAAGGGGGATCCTGGCAGGTCACCTTTGGTCCGGAGGCCATGGAGCTGCGCCCTCCGCTCACCCCTTCCTCAGCTCTGCAGGGGCCCCAAGACTGCCTGTAATACAGACTCTCAGCCTGTGCTTCTCGCTGAGTGGGAGACAGCCGAGCACCCAACAGGCAGCCTGCACATGACTGGAGAAGCCAGATCTTCCCTCACAAATCACACCCGCACTCGGGAAGCAGCGCGAAGTGTGACTCCCACTTCTTCAGATGTAAACATTGAAGCGCCTGCTGAGCCAACAGCAAGCATCCTCATCCAGCCGGCACAGGGCAGCAGCAGCACCGTCTTCGCCAGAGACGAGCACCCTCATCCAGCGGGCACGGGGCAGCAGCAGCACCGTCTTCGCCAGAGACGAGCACCCTCATCCAGCGGGCACGGGGCAGCAGCAGCACCGTCTTCGCCAGAGACGAGCACCCTCATCCAGCGGGCACGGGGCAGCAGCAGCACCGTCTTCGCCAGAGACGAGCACCCTCATCCAGCGGGCACGGGGCAGCAGCAGCACCGTCTTCGCCAGAGACGAGCACCCTCATCCAGCGGGCACGGGGCAGCAGCAGCACCGTCTTCGCCAGAGACGAGCACCCTCATCCAGCGGGCACGGGGCAGCAGCAGCACCGTCTTCGCCAGAGACGAGCACCCTCATCCAGCGGGCACGGGGCAGCAGCAGCACCGTCTTCGCCAGAGACGAGCACCCTCATCCAGCGGGCACGGGGCAGCAGCAGCACCGTCTTCGCCAGAGACGAGCACCCTCATCCAGCGGGCACGGGGCAGCAGCAGCACCGTCTTCGCCAGAGACGAGCACCCTCATCCAGCGGGCACGGGGCAGCAGCAGCACCGTCTTCGCCAGAGACGAGCACCCTCATCCAGCGGGCACGGGGCAGCAGCAGCACCGTCTTCGCCAGAGACGAGCACCCTCATCCAGCGGGCACGGGGCAGCAGCAGCACCGTCTTCGCCAGAGACGAGCACCCTCATCCAGCGGGCACGGGGCAGCAGCAGCACCGTCCTGGCCGGAGACGCCGGGTCCTGGGAGGAGTGTTCCCTCCCAGCGGGTCGGTGAGCAGATCAGTTCCAACCACTTGTCCCAACATCCCTTCTGAAGGCAGCTTTCACGAATGATCCACATCCTTCAAGAAGCCCGGGGTCCCCGAAGGCAAGTGAGGAACGTATTTGCGCTGGACCTGCCATCTGCTGCCAGTGAGGCTGCCGAGTGCCGGTCATCGCAAAGGCGTCCCAGATGCTCACCCCCCACCCGGCCCTGTTGGCCCAGGCACAGTGTCATTTGAGGAGAGGACTGGAGTCTGGGACCTGTGGCAACCTCCCAGAGACCCCGTCTGCTCAGATTAACTGTCTGCTAGATACTCGTTGCCAGGGCAACCGGGTGAGCTAGGGCACCCTGGGGTCCATCGGAACCTCCCCCTCCTCTCTTCCTCCATCTCCCCCAAGGCAGTGGCCCCCACAGAGATTCCCACGCGCCAACCAGCAGAGGCAAATGTGTGATCCATCCCATGGTGGAGCCCCACCTCCCTCTCTCTCTCCTCTGGGAATATTCCAGAGAAACTGGCAGGCCCCCCCCACACACACACACACACTGTCCCGCTGTCCGCGACCTTCAGAGCGTCCGGATGCAAACTCACCAGCAGCCCTGCACCAGGCCGTCGCCTTTGACTGAAGAGTCGGTCCTGTAGGTCCATTTCTGACCCTCTTTCTTTAACCAGGATTTCGGTTTTGCGATTTCAAAGTTTGGCCAAGATGAATGTATCGGAACCATGGGGAGAACGGGCAGAAAGGCTGCCCATCCCTCGCGAAGAATCTCAGCAAGAAGGACGCGTTCTGCACAGACCTGCTCCGAGCAGAGGTGGCCAGGCACCGCGTGATAACTCCCTGCGACTCAGAGACACTAGGCGTGCTTCCCCCAAACCCGTGAGCCGGAGCCAGGGCGAAGGCCGTTACTGCCCTAGAAACCAGCCTCGGGGGGTTCCAGGCTGGCCCTCCCCTGCCCACCGTGGGATGTTCCGTGCTTCGCGTAAAGATGCCATCCCCGTGATCGACGCCTTCTCAGGGTAAAGACGATGCTTCGGCCCAGAATTAACTCTCATTCCTTTTATCCCAAGCATTTTTCTCTGCGGAGCATGCCAATTCTCCCCATGTTAACGTAAAAACCGCTCGGACCTTAAAGAATGTTGTGAGTTTATTTGAGCCAAACTGTCGACATATGCCGGGAAGCAGAACCTCAACGAATTGAGATAATGCTCCGGAGAATGGGGAGTTCATACCTTGTTTTTATAAATTACCTTCAAAAGGACAATACGGAAGTGGGTGACATGGAATCCACTGGTGATAGATTAGGGAGGTGGGAGAAAGCAAAGCGGGGAAACCTCTGGGATAGGATCAAAAGTGAAATGATGGACATGTGCTTCTCTTACACAGTGGATACAGGATAGTTAACATAGCTAATAGATGACCATGAACTTGATAACAATAACAATGAGGGAATGTCCTGGTGCCATTATTGTGCCCTGAGGGGTCCGGGGGAAAAAGAAAGTTACAAGTTACCCAGACACCTTGCAAATATGTTATCTTAGAGGCAAAAAGGCAAACGGGCTCAGCAAAGATCTAAGTTGATCTTTGTCAGGGAAAATGCCGGCCTAGGACTCAACTACCCACTGTAATCTGTTTGTAGCTCATATTTAATTTTCAGACCATCCTTTGTGGTGACTTCAGGTCTCAGAGTTTGCACAACCGCCATGCAGGCCTCCCCTGAGCCTGTCAGGTTCGCAGGTGGCCCCTTCCGCCCACACCCAGAAACACAGGCGCCGCCGCCGGGGTTTCCGTCCTGCACTTGGCAAACAGCAGTCCATGTGGAAAGCCGATTACCTGCCAGCTTCCTCGTTTCTCACTTGTAAATGCCACACTTCCAACTCCAAATGGAAAAATAAATATTTGCAGGCTAAAGGTTTCATTTCATTGCAAATGTTCCTGGAGATTAAATGTCATTTTAATCACATGTTAGTTTATTTCTCTGGGCACATCGGATTTGCATGGGTTTGTTCGCGCAGCGAGATGAGTTTCTGCCCGCCAGCTGGGGCCCATTCACCATTCACGCTCATCCCCGCGGGGGGCGGGCCTCCTGGAGTCAGAAAATGTGCGTGATGTCCAACGGGTTGGTGTTCGTGCTCCCAAATCCCTTTTTGCCCATCAAGGTGACAGCCACCCACAGGGGCTGGCCGGGCTGAGCAGTGCTGCTTAGCTTTGGGGAGATGGGGTGGAGGCCTGGCACCTGGCTTTGAATCTAGCCTGGAATTCCCTCCCCAGGACAACTGAGAATGTCCCTAACCCTTGCTTGTTTCTCATCAGCTTTTCTCTAGTTAGAAGCCACGCTGTAGCACAGTGAGCACATGGGAGGTGGTTCCCTCCCACGACGTTCTAGAACGGGTACTAGGATGGACACAATGTTCCTGGGATGGACACAATGATCCTGGGATGGACACAATGATCCTGGGATGGACACAATGATCCTGGGATGGACACAATGATCCTGGGATGGACACAATGATCCTGGGATGGACACAATGATCCTGGGATGGACACAATGATCCTGGGATGGACACAATGATCCTGGGATGGACACAATGATCCTGGGATGGACACAATGATCCTGGGATGGACACAATGATCCTGGGATGGACACAATGATCCTGGGATGGACACAATGATCCTGGGATGGACACAATGATCCTGGGATGGACACAATGATCCTGGGATGGACACAATGATCCTGGGATGGACACAATGATCCTGGGATGGACACAATGATCCTGGGATGGACACAATGATCCTGGGATGGACACAATGATCCTGGGATGGACACAATGATCCTGGGATGGACACAATGATCCTGGGATGGACACAATGATCCTGGGATGGACACAATGATCCTGGGATGGACACAATGATCCTGGGATGGACACAATGATCCTGGGATGGACACAATGATCCTGGGATGGACACAATGATCCTGGGATGGACACAATGATCCTGGGATGGACACAATGATCCTGGGATGGACACAACGTGTCCTTGTTTGCTGTTTCTTCTTCTTTGGTCAGCTATTCCGTGTAAACTGGATTTGACAAAAAAAATTTTTTTAAAAACCAGCAAAGAGAAAATAGGGTTTATTTCAGGCAGAATCAGGTGTGGGGTTGTTCTGAATTCTTTAGGAGAGATGATTGACGGCCCCAGAGGAATTCTGCAGACGCCCTGGCTTCCACGGGCCTCAGTTAAAGGGGGACACACGGCCCCGGGCTGCCTGCCTGCCGGGCTCCAGTCCTGCCTGCTGAGTGGGTGACACATGGGCCCCTTTAGTGGCACTCGGCGTGTCTCCTCTGAACTCCCCGTTATTCCGCTGTCTTAGAAAACGGAAGGCCGGGCTCCGGGTCCAAGGAAAGGCCCAACACAGCGTCGATGCTTTCAGCGGTGGCTCTGACTAGGGACCGCGCGGCAAAGGCCTCCATGTGTTGGCCCTGGGCCCTGGCCGGCCTCTTGGAAACAAAGGAGCCGTGGCCAGGACTCACTGGGTTGTTGTCACCCACAGAATGAAGAGCCGCTGTTCTCCAGGGACGGGCGAAAGTTCTTCTTCGTCAGAGCCATCCCGCAGGGGGGGCAGGGCAAGTTCTACCACATCACCGTGTCCTCCTCCCAGGCAAGTCCCCGTGCTCCCTAACTGCTGTGCCGGCGGCAGCCTGGGGGGCTGCGCTCTGGGCGCCCTTGCCCACCTTCCTTCTCTTTCTCCTCCCTCCCTCCCTCCTTTCTTCCTCCTTCCTCCCTTCCTCCCCCTCCTTCCTCCCTTCTCTTCCTCCTTCTTCCCTCTCTCCCTCCTCCCTCCCACCTCCCTCCCTCCTTCCTTCCTCCTTCCTTCTCTCCCTTCTCTATCTCCTCACCCTTTTCACCCACTTGCCCATATTTTTCTCTTCCCTCTCCATCCCCCACAATAATGACTACCAGTTGGATTTACAAAAGTTAAAGTATCAGCAGCACATGAAGCATCGATTCTTCTTGAGACGAGACATCGCCGAGTGGGAGGGCGCAGTGGTGGCACCATGGTCAGCCCCACGCAGGGACCACAGGGACGCCCGAGGGGAGGGCTGTGGGCTGGTGGCCCCCCTGAGGAGAGACGGGCAGCGGGCGACACCCCTGCACCTGGTCCTGAGGGGCCGGGACCCAGAAGGAAGCTGGGTGGGGCCGGGCTCCCGCCTCACGGCCCGTCTGTTGCAGCCCAACAGCAGCAACGACAACATCCAGTCCATCACGTCGGGGGACTGGGACGTGACCAAGATCCTCTCCTACGACGAGAAGCGGAATAAGATGTGAGTGCGCGTGGGGACGGCCCTTCCTCCTGGACAGGACACACACGCCACTTTCAGATGCGTTCTAGGCACCTGGTCCGCAGCCCACTCCCTGCTCCCGTGGGGCCCTGGCTCCTCCGTGCGGATCACAGAGCTGATTTCCATGGGGAGAGAGCAGCGGCGAGGGGAGCCCTGCAGCCAGGCCTGGGGCTGAGCCCGGGGGACGGGCTCATCCTAGTGCTGGCGTTTGCCGAGTCCCTGTGAGGCCTGGCACCGGCTCAGGGCCTCAGGGGCCACACCCACCCTGCCTGCAGCATGGCCAGTGCGGCTACTGCCTCCCCCACTTCACACACGAATAAGCGGAGACTAAAGCACGCGAGGCCTTGGCCCAGGTTGTCAGCCCAGGCGGCTGGGGATGCAGCTCATTGATGAGGTCCAGGCCCACCTGCCAGCCAGGCTCCCTGTCATGTGGCACACACCCAGGCTTCCCCGTTTGGGGTCCAAGGTGAAAATCAGTCCATAAGAGGCATCCCCCAGGCTTCTGTCTGGGCCCTTGCCCTGCGGAAGGTATAGCCTGTAAAGAGATTCCCGCATCCGAACTCAGGGGCACATGACCACCGCCCTGGCCCGGACACCTGAGCCTGCGGGCAGGGGTGGGACCCCCAGGCAGGTGTGGGACCCCGGGCAGGTGCGGGACCCCGGCCAGCAGGAGCTCAGCCCACCCGAAATGTAGCTGGACCCAGTGCTCGCCATAGCCACAGAATAGGGGTCCCTGAGCAGGGTTTGCACGGGGCTGGGGGGCTGGGCTGTGAGGCCACACCTGCCTGGAGCCACTAACTCCTGTCACCTGTGCTCTCTGCAGCTACTTCCTCAGCACCGAGGACCTGCCCCGGAGACGCCACCTCTACAGGTATGTGGGCCTCCCAGCACAAGGCCGCCAAGACCACGCCATACAGCGGGTGCAGGGACACTGAGACCACACCATAGAGCGGGGGCAGGGACGCCGAGACCACCCCATAGAGCGGGTGCTGGGCCGCCGAGACCACGCCATAGAGCGGGGGCAGGGACGCCGAGACCACCCCATAGAGCGGGTGCTGGGCCGCCGAGACCACGCCATAGAGCGGGGGCAGGGACGCCGAGACCACCCCATAGAGCGGGTGCTGGGCCGCCGAGACCACGCCATAGAGCGGGGGCAGGGACGCCGAGACCACCCCATAGAGCGGGTGCTGGGCCGCCGAGACCACGCCATAGAGCGGGGGCAGGGACGCCGAGACCACCCCATAGAGCGGGTGCTGGGCCGCCGAGACCACGCCATAGAGCGGGGGCAGGGACGCCGAGACCACCCCATAGAGCGGGTGCTGGGCCGCCGAGACCACGCCATAGAGCGGGGGCAGGGACGCCGAGACCACCCCATAGAGCGGGTGCTGGGCCGCCGAGACCACGCCATAGAGCGGGGGCAGGGACGCCGAGACCACCCCATAGAGCGGGTGCTGGGCCGCCGAGACCACGCCATAGAGCGGGGGCAGGGACGCCGAGACCACCCCATAGAGCGGGTGCTGGGCCGCCGAGACCACGCCATAGAGCGGGTGCAGGGCCGGTGGCTGGCGAAAACCCCAGGGCCGGTGGCGAGAAGGGGCAGGGGCTGCAGGTCTCCTTTGGGGAGGGAACTCGGGTTGGATCTTGACCTCTGCCACTTCCTCCCTCACGCCTTTGCCTCGCCTTTGCCCCACCAGCGCCAGCACCGTGGGCAGCTTCAACAGGCAGTGCCTGTCCTGCGACCTGGTGGGCAACTGCACCTACTTCAGCGCGTCCTTCAGCCACAGCGCCGACTTCTTCCTGCTCAAGTGCGAAGGTGGGTCCCGCCGCCTCCGGCCCTGCTGGTCCGTGTCCGAGCCCCTGTGTCCGAGCCCCTGTGTCCGCGTCCGTGTCTGAGCCCCTGTGTCTGAGCCCCTGTGTCCACGTCCCTGTGTCTGAGCCCTTGTGTCCGTGTCCCTGTGTCTGAGCCCCTGTGTCCGCGTCCCTGTGTCCAAGCCTCTGTGTTCACGTCCTTGTGTCTGAGTCCCTGTGTCCGAGCCCCTGTGTCCGTGTCCCTGTGTCTGAGCCCCTGTGTCCACGTCCCTGTGTCAGAGCCCCTGTGTCTGAGCCCCTGTGTCCGAGCCCCTGTGTCCGAGCCCCTGCTGAGCCCAGGGACCCCGCACCTGTGGGAAGGGGAGGCTGGCGAAGGAGCTCATCCCGGAGCAGGTCCGTCCTGCCCGCCTGCGCTGCACGCCCGGAGCCGCCTCTGGGTCTGGCGCAATAGGGACAGGTCACACTGATGAGGCCACAGGTGCTCATATCTGGGCTGTCAGTTAGTCCCGGAGTTTGCCTACATTTTCCATAAAAACTCAATGTGCTGTGAGCCAATTGGGGTAAGTGTACACACTGGCAGCCTCTGAAGTGTATTTAAGGAATGAGGTTATACACAACAAGTCTCAGATGGGAAAATGAATATTCTCCTGTGACCCAATTCATCGATAATTTACCCCAAACTTCAGAAAGAAAAGCAATTTTCTAAAAAGACATGAATGTGGCCCTGGCCGTGTAGCTCAGCTGGTTAGAGTGTCGCCCCAATATGCCAAGGCTGTGGCTGGATCACCGAGCAGGGCACACACAGGAATGGGCCAATGCGGGCATACCTAACGGAACAGCAAATCGCTCTCGCTCTCTCTCAAAAATCAGTCAATAAAAAAGTTTAAAAGACATAAATTTGTGCCTCTCGGATGAGGAGGGAAAAAACCGCCCACTTTACAAAGACAACCAAACGGACGCGGTGAGCCCACATTTCAGATGTTTGATACACAGATTCAGCAGCTGAATTTACCAGGACAGCATCCTCCACCGTGATGTCAAACGGAAGCAGTAAGATGACCCTCTTGTTACTGCGAAGTGCTCCTGAGGCCTCGGTCATCGCCGCTGTCGGCGGGAGAGAAGTGAGATGTGGAAGAGAGTCCCGGGGCCCCCAGAGCCGGGCCCAGTGAGTGGGCGCGCAGGAGAACCTGCTACCCTCCGGTCCTCATCCTGAAACCCGGAAGTGACGGCGTGCATTCCCCCAGGAGGCTGTGAGGGCCCAGCAAGGCCCCGCTGTGGGGGCTCGGCGTGGCCCCCGACACAGCCAGCGCCGAACAGCTGGTGGCAGCCGTCCATGATCAGTGAGAACGTCTCCACACCCGCTGGCCGACTCTGCATCCCAAGCCGCTGCGGTCACTCAGCCACGTCCTAACGGGTTTCCCAATGGGACTGGCCCCTGGCTTCTCCCGGGCTGGTGCCAGGAGCCCTGCTGACCCCACAGAGTAGAATGTTCCAGAAGTGACCACAGAACACTAAACCAGCCGAGGGCCGGGCTGACAATGAGGGGCCCAGGGGCCCCCGCGCTCCGGCAGGAGTTAGGGAGTCACGGAGTTGTCTTCTTTCTCGGCCGGAACATCCCCGCTTCCTGTCCCATCTCCTCTGCCTTCACCCCTCAGAGGCCAGGCTCCAGCCTCCTGCCACCGCCTGTCCTCCGGACGGAGCCGGGTGATGCACGGGGCAGTGGGTGTGGCCCCTGAGGCAACTGGGGTGGGAGAGCCGCCCGCAGGCCAGATGGGGGCGCCGCTGCAGCCGGTGGGGGTGAAGGACTCTGAGGCCCAGCCCGGCGAGGATGGACC